CTGTTGATGAGATGGGTTTTCTGTAAGCAACAGATTGTTGGATCTTTCTATTTAATCCAGTTTGCCAAACCGTGTCTTTTTATGGGGGAATTAAGTCCGTTAACATTCAGTGTTAGTACTGATAGGTATGTGGTGATTCCTGTCATTTAGTTGTCTTTGTGTTTAAGGGTTTGATTGTGTGCAGATGAATCAAAGTTACTCTCTACTTTCTTGCCTTTTCTTCTCCTGTAGTTTGGTACTGCCTGTCCTTTCATGGTTTTATTTGCTTTCATTTTCTGTGTGCAGGATTCCTTGCAGAATCTTTTGTAGTGGTGGCTTTGTGGTCACATATTGTTTTAGTTTCTGCTTGTCATGGAAGACTTTTATTGCTCCATCTATTTTGAATGATAGTTTTGCTGGGTAGAGTATCCTAGGGTTGAAGTTATTTTCATTCAGTGTCCGGAATACCTCACTTGCTTTTAAGGTTTCCATTGACAAATCTGCTGTGATTTTGATGGGTTTACCTTTGTATGTTATTTGATTTTTCTCTCTTACAGCCTTCAATATTCTTTCTCTATTCTCTGTGCTTGTTGTTTAAATGATAATATGTCATGGGGTAGTTCTATTTTGGTCAAGTCTGTTTGGTGTCCTGGAGGCTTCCTGTACCTGAATGGGTATTGTTTTCTCTAGATTTGGGAAATTTTCTGTTATTATTTTGTTGAATATATTAAGAATTCCTTTTGCTCACTTCTTCTTCTTCAATACCCATGATTCTCAGGTTTGGTCTTTTGATGGAGTCAGTGAGCTCTTGCATATTCCTTTCACAGGTCTTGAGTTGCTTGAGTAATAGTTCTTCAGTTTTTCCTTTAATTTCCATTTCATCTTCAAGTATTGAGATTCTGTCTTCTGCTTGTTCTAGTCTGCTGGAGTGGCCTTCCATTGTGCTTTGTATTTCTGTTTCACTTTTTTTCTGAGGTTTTCCATATTGTGGGTCACTTCCTCTTTAATACTGTCAATTTTTGTCCTTAATTCATTTATCTCTCTATTTATGGAGTTCTCTGTTTCACTTTGGTATTTATTTAGGGCTCCTATGAATTCACTTATTTGTTTTTGTGTTTTCTCATATTCTTTATTTTTGTTGTCTTGGAATTTCTTGAGTGCCTCCTGTACATTTTGGTTGACCTTGTCTAGTAACATCTTCATGAAATTCTCAGCGATTTCTTGCAGGATTTCTTCTTTCAGGGTGTTCTTTTGAGCTTCTTTGGGTTCCTTGGGACAGTCTATCTTTGTTTTGTTGGGGTCTGGAACTGGGTATCTGCTTTCTTCATTTCCCTCTGAATCCTGTACTAATTTATTTTTGAGCGGGAATGGTTTCTGTCCCTTTTTCATCTTTCCATCATTCCACTTGGTGTTGTTTCTGTCCTGTTCTGTTGGTCTGTGTCTTCCAAGCAGGTTTGGAGCTGGCACCTGGCAGCACGGAAGACTTCCTGTTTTCTCAATGTAACGTGGTGTGGAGAAGCTTTGTATGGGCTGGGTGTTTGGGGTGTTGGAGTTTTGATTCTTCTTTGTGGTTTTTTTCTACCAAGCATGGCTCCAGCATCTCAGCAAGATTTTTGATTTATGGAGCTCACGCTGTCTGCTTCCTCCCTCTAGTTGCCATCTTGGATCCTGTCAGTTGGATTTAAACTCTATGCATCCTTAGTATTTGCATTTTTTCCTCATGGTGGTCTCCTTGAAACCATTTACTTGTGTTTGCAGTAATGGGGTTTGAACTGAGGGTATCACACTTGTTAGACAAGGGCATGTGCCCAGCCCTTTTTGCTTTTAGCTTGTTTTTAGATAGGGTCTTTCACTTTTGCCCTGAGCTGGCTTCAGACCATAATTCTCCCACCTATGCCTTCTGCGTAGCTAGATCACAGACATGCACCACCATGCCTGGTTTGTTTATTGAGGTACAGTCTCACTAACTTTTTTGCCTGGGTTGGTCTTGAATCCTGACACTCTTATCTCTGCCCCCTGAATATCTGGGATTGCAGGTATACCACCACATGTCACCTTACTGTGGTGTCTTCATCCAGCATTGGCTTCAAGGTGATGCTGGCCTCATAAAAATTTGAAAGTGTTCCCTATTCTATTTTTTGGAAGAGTTGGAGGATGGGTATCAATCCTTCTTTATATATTTGGTAGAATTCACCTAGAAACCATCTGGTCTGGAATTTTATTTTTTGGAAGGTTCTTGATTTGCACTTTAATCTCCCTATTTGTTATTGACTGTTTAGTCTTTCTATTTTTCCTGAGGCTGTACTGTGACATCCTGAGACACTTATTTACTTGACAAGTAACAATATGCAGAGAGTCTAGGTTTAGCAAATTAATTCCTTAGATAACATACATTGAGGACTTACTATGTGCCAGAAAGGGAGGAGCAAAGATGACCTGTTTTCAGCAGAAAGCAGCTGCTAATGCTAATGTGACTGCACCAGAAAATATGACACCTAGCTGCGATAAAGTACCTGGAAGATGTGGTGCACAGCATCACGTGCACACAGAGGAACAAAACACACTCTGGGGCTTCCAAAAGACTTCCCTGAGGGAGGGGATTTGGGCTGACACCTGTGGAATGAGTGGGAGTTACCTGAGCTTGGACTTGGGGTAGGGGAGAATGGTGTGGGCAAAGGTCCTCCTGCCCTTGGGGTAGGAGGGATCAGCGTATCTGAGGGACAGTGAGGCAGGCTGTGTGGATAGGATGAGGGGCAAGGAAGGAACCTTGGAGAGAGGGCAGCAGTCAGATGCAGCTGGACCTTAGGCCTGGCTGAAGACAGTTATCTTTACTCCTGGGGATTGAAGAGTTTAAATAAGAGTGAGAAAATCAGATTTGCATTTGGGCAGGACCACTCTGGATACTGGGTAAGCCAGGACCAAGCCACCTTGTCTGGAAAATGCTGGACCAAAGGCTGTCCTCTGATTCCTTTGTGCCTTCTTTCCAAATCCCTGTAGCTAAGGGTCTTCCCACAAAAGGAACTCAAGGAAGTCAACTAAGTTTCAGCCTGTGGAATTAAATATTTTGCTTTTTACATCTTGCAAGTTTATCCTCATGTCCCTTGGACTGGAGTTAAGACTGCACAGAACTCTGTAGCTGCACAATTGCCAGCACTGTCTTGGGGCTTCCCAGCACCCATGGTGATACAGCATGAGCCACCACAATGCAGGAACGCGAGGGTGGCCGGGGAGGAGGTGAGGAAGGCTGCTGTGATATTGGGTGGGCTGACAATGAGTTTCTTGGTGAAGAGGAGCACACAGCAGCCCTCTGTTTCCCTTTCCCATTTTGTCCAGCATAATTTCATGTTCAGTCATGGAAGCATGGTGGAGAGTGGATTATGAGAAGCCTATGAGAACTGGACACAGGCAAGGTGAGATGCAGCTCAGCTGCTTTTCCTAAGATGTTTCTCTGTAGGCCGAGATTGGCACAGCCCTGGCCACAGAGGAAAATGCAGCACAGCTGCTTCTCCTAAGTTATTCATGTTCAGAGAAGCAGGAACGCAGGTTCCTCCTGTTACAATGTCACGCTCCTCCCCAAGAAACATGCTCCCCTCCCTGTTTGCCACTTGATATAAAAGATTTCCTGAAGGAGGACACCAGGGTTTTTGCTTTTTTGGCTTTTGGCTTTTTGATGGGGAAGGCTTTTGGCTTTTGGTTTTTTGATGTGGGAGGCTTTGGAAGGGAAAAGAATTGCTGAAGGGAAAAGGATTGCTGAAGGGGGAAAATGAATTGCTGAAGGGAAAGTACTGGAGAGAGATTGCTGAAGGGAAAAGAGAATTGCTAAAGCTAAGCTAAAGAAAAGCTAAAGAGAACATGGGACAGTGCAAGTCTGGGGGCAAAGACTTTAAGAGAGATTATGATAAAGAAACACTAAGAGAAAACATGGGACAGAGCGAGTCTAAGGAAAGAGACTTTAAAGAATAGTGAAGCAAGGTTTTAAGAAAAGACTTTAGAAGCAAGGTTTTAAAGAAGTGTAAAGGAGTAAGGCCTTAAAGAATAAAGACAGAGAAAAGAAGCAACAAGGCTGCTGTGCATCTCCATCCGAGTGCCCAACACACCTGGCCCCAACTTTCTGCATGTCTGTCTGTCTGTCCTTTGTCCTTTCTGCATCTTCTGTCACCGCCCAGTTAGCCCCAGTTAGGTTCGGTAGTAACAAGAGGGAGAGAAAAAAGCTCGCTCCAGAAGCATCCCATTTTTCACAGATAAAGACGCTGTGCGTGGAAGAAGCTTACCAGGTCACAGAACAGGGCTATGGGCAAATCCAGGTGCCTTCAGAGTTAACGGTAAACTCAATGCAAAACAGACCAGGATCGTCAACCTAAGACCATGTGGTCCTTGATTGAGCTAGGAGACTAGATGCCAGTGTGGCTGGTTGTGTGACAGACCTAAGCAAGATGTAGCAGGAAGAATGCCAGCCTGGAAGCACAGGTTGCCTTTGGCAGCCCAGTGCCACCTGGAAGAGGAAGTCTTGGCCATGACCTTTGGGTATCCTGGTCTAGTGGCAGGGCTGTCACAGGGTGAAGATGGAGGCAGGAAGCTGAGGAAATGAAGTCTGGATGCTTTCATCCAACCAGCTGCTCTAAGTCACCAAGAGATGGACCGGTAGCAATTCAAAGTCAACCCACCTGATCCCCCATTCACAAAAACCTGCTCATTAGCTCTGGCCTTCCCTATGGGTCTATCCACATGGGGACAGGGGACAGGGGAGGTTGGGGCATGTGTTCTGGCCTCTCTGATGGTCTCATCCTATCCATGGGCTCAGGTGATGGGGGCTGGGATGCTCACTCTCGGATACTTGGGCTTATCTCACTTGTGAGCCCACAACCCTGAGCACTAAATGGCAGTCAATGAATTCACCTTCCCTGTGAGGTGTCCTGGGCACAGCCCGCTAGTGTCGGTAGGTACCTCTCCTTGACGGGCTGCTGTCCATTACTGGATCTGCCACCTACCCCCACCCCACCCCACCATGTTTGTTTACACACCTTCTTCCCTCTCTTTCCTCCTTTGACCGGAAGTTCCTTTTCTTTGTTCACAGCAAGTTTTAAGTTTTTTAGTTCCTGTCTCATCAGCTCATCAACCTAGGCACAAATACAAAACACATAATTTTTAGGTAACTTTGTGTGTCTTGTATCTTCTCTGTGAAATGTAAATATTGCTTAAATTCTGGGGTAGGGAGAAGGTGGGAGGATAAGGAGGGGGTGAGTTCAAAGTACACTGTCTGCATCTGTGGAATTACCACAATGAAACCCCTTGTACTACCAATGTATGCTAGTTAAAAAAGTAAAATAAAAAAATTCTGGGCTAGGCCAACAATAGGACGTTGTAAGAATGCACTGTCACTGCAGTAAGTGGCTGATTCTCACTACAAGATAAATGGAGCCGTACCTGAACCCTTATCTCTGACTCTAGTTCTTTCCGTTTCTCCTGTTTGATCATTTCTGGATCATAGTCCTGAGGGAAATTCCAAGATTCATCTCTGTTCATCCACGTGTCTGTACTCCAGAGGGGTAAAGGAAAAGAAAATGAAAAAAGTTCACTACGCAGGTTAACGAAAACAGTTACTATAACATCAACACAAGGCCAATCTTCTATCTAGTTACAAAGAATAAACATTTGAAAAAAATAAGACTGGCGGAATTCATAGATGTGCTGGTATCTTATCTTTAAAAAAAGGCAGAAAACAGCTAAGGCGAAAATATCAAGTAAAAATGCCTGATGCAAATGTGACAATAGTCATGCCAAAGAAGAATGTTACTGGTGGGATTATGCAATTATAGGTCCTATTTTTGTGTATGTTTTATGTTGCTTTTATTATTCACTTGATTCACTAAAATGTCAGTGATTTTGGTGCCTGTCAGCCCCAGCAGTAATTTATCCTTATTACAAAGTAGGCCACCCTAAGCACACAGCATCTGTTACTTCCCCTCAGTCAACAGCTATGTTGTAAAAGTACTTTTTAGATTTTGCCTTCTCCTGCTGGCTAGAAGTTTGGACTTAGACAAATGTCACCCTGGAGAAAACCAGGATAATTTTGTATCACTCGAATAAGTTGAAACAGGGCTCATTTCTCATGGGGGAACCCCAAATGTATGACGAGGTGCCAGACAAGTGGGTCACTGATAATGAGCTTGCTAGTTTGAGAAATGAGATCTCGACCTGGAATTTATGTTCAGATGTGAAGGAAACTTACTGGAGCTCCCACCAAATAGGGCTGTGATGACCTTCAACTTGGGAAGGCACCTAGGGCCATGGAGACACAGGCAGAGGTCCCCTACCTCTGTGGGACAATGACTACAACTTGGAAAGACAGAAGAGTCTGCAGGGTCTCCAGGGTCGCGGTGGTCTGGGTGATGAACGCCTCCCCCATGGCTGACGAACAGCGTCAGCTGACCAGGAAGGAAAAGGGAGGCCCTGAATCCCAATGTCCAGGCAGACACTACATCTCACAGCTACAGAGAGGCAGAGCTGTCAAATGTGAAGCTTCAGAGTAGAGGAAGAACCTGGAGACACGTGCAGGTAAACGGGACGAGGGAGGGGCTCTGGAAACATCACAGGGGAGCAGAAATCAGCAAAAGGGAAGCATTGAAGGGAGAAGGGAGAAGATGTGGCATGCTGCAGGATAGCCAGGTTCCCTACTGCCCCATAGGCACTGAGACTGAGACACAACTCAGAGGTGGCAAACTGGCTCCAGTGTCTTTACTAGGGCTTCAGCCACATGATGCTCACTCGTCCAGGCAAAGCAGCTTGGTACAAGGAGCTACAGGTGAAATGGTGTCATGGGTGCCTAGCTTGGGGCAGGTGGAACATTGTCCTAGCATTCAGCACCTGCTGACAGCCGATCCGCTCTCCTCCCCTTCCCTTCCCCTTTCCTTCTTCTCCCTTTCTGTTCCTGTCCCCTGTCCACTTTCCTTCCCCTCCTCCTCCTTCTCCTCCTTAGGTGGCACTGGAGACTGAACACTTGATGGCCACTTGAGCCATGTCCCTAGCCTTTTGGTGTTTTTGCCCCATTTCCTGTAGCGCTGGAGCGAGGGGAATGGAATAGTGAGGCAAGGTAACCAGGTCGGCCCAAATAATTAATGCTGTTCCCCAGAGCAGAGCATCTCCATGGTGTTAGCTGGACTGACTGACTGTTTCCTGCTCCAGAGAGGACTCCTGCAAGACAGATGCATCCTAGAAACAACTGTGGCCAAAGAGCAGAGTTGGCTCAGCAGAGGAAGCGCTGGCCCCCAGGGTCTGCCATGTACTGTCTTTCAGGACTCAGAGCCAATTGTCCTCAGGACAAGACAGCTGTAGGAAGATGGGACCCAGAAGTGCAGCTCAAGTTTTTAAAGTGTGGGTTGACGGTTGATTCTATGGGTCACAGGCACTGACCCAGTGGCTCCATGGAGATTTGTGGAGGTGGCAATGGTTGTCATCATGCACAGATGAGGCAGGTCCACCTTACTTCCTGGCTCAGTGGTTGGCCCCAGGCAAAATCATGAGATCCTATCTAAAAAATAGCTAACGTAAAAAAAGGGCCGGGAGCATGGATCAAGTGTTAGAGCTCCTGCATAGTAAGCATGAGGCTCTAAGTTCAAACCTCAGTACCACCAAAAAAAGTGTTTAGGTTTTCCCTTTGAAAATACTAGAAAAAAAGGCATGACATGCAGAGGAGGAGATGGAGAAATTATGTTGTTTTTAAGAAATATTAAAAGGGGCAGACTCAGACATTAGAACCAGAAAAATGAAAACCATCAACCCTTCCTCCTTTTAGATGTTAAGTTGGGAGAGCCTGGAGACATAGATGGGCTACCTGTTAGGGAGCTGCAGATGGACTGGCGAGTGGTTCAAGTGGCAGAGCAACCTGCCTAGCAAGTGGGAAACCCTGAGTTCAAACTTCAGTGCCACCAAAAAAAAAAAATATTGCAAGGCTCCTTGAATGGGTGGAGACTGAAAAAGAAAGGCATGTCTTGCAAAAGGAAGTCCTAAAACACCTGCTGTCCCTGTGGTTTGGGTGGGCCTAGATCACATCTCTGTGTTTTACAATAATAAGCAGCACCCATCTTGGGCACCCAGATCCACTGTCTGATGACTTTGGGTTGCTGGATGACAGGACCCCAGCTCAGAAAGTATAAAGACTTCAGAAAAGAACCACCATGTTGAGTCTTTTCTCAATGTGTCTCCCCTTTTTTTCTACTTCTCCCTACTTTATCCTGTTATACTAAAATAAATCCTTGCTAAAATTCCCAGTTTGTGAGACTCCTGTTGTGAGACACCTGGAAACACTTTTCACGTGTGGATCTCAAGTTCCTGTGATATTGAGGAAGTCCCCTTGAGGCAGGCTAAATTAGGGACTCAAAGAAAAAACCAGTCATCCTACACTAACGTGCTTTGGCTCAGGAACTGCCCTCACCTGGCCGGGAACTGCCCAAGGCCCTCCCCACTCATTGGTTATTGGGTGGGAATCTCCTTGTTCTCCCCCCCCTCCCCCAGGTTAGCATAGGTTTCAGAAGCACCTGAAGTGCACTTGGCTTCGGGCTTCCACCTGGGCCCACCATGCTTCCCTTTGCATTTCCATTCCCTGTTCCCTAACTTTTAACAAACTCCATTTACACCCATGTGTCCTGCCACTGATTCTTCCACATGGGACGAGAATTTGGAAATCTGATCAAAGACTGAACCAGTGCCATTAACACCCTTGTCACACATCTGGTGACAGAGAAACTTTCCATGTGCTATTTACTAATAACTACTCTTTCAAATAGATTTCCCCCTCCCTTGCAGGATTACTAAATCTTCCAGAAAGCAAAGCATACCTGTTACATCAGGACATTTGCAAGCCAAGTAGCTTTGTTCTTTATAGGGAGCTACTTTCCTTTTTCACTAGACAGATTGACTAGCAGGGAACAAAGTGCTCGGTGATAAAAGGGGTACAGAATGCTAACAGAAGAGAGTGTGCAGGCTGATTATTTATGTAAAAACAGTTGCAGTAAGACTTTCTCATGCTGGAGTCACAGCTACGTTTTTAAAAGAAGCATTCACGCCGGCGGCACCCTTTGCCCATTTCCCCTCTCGAAGGCTTCAATGGGCCAAGTTTTCCCTAGAGACTTCTCTTTCTCATGACACTTTTGCACAGGGCACCTTTCAATCCCTTCAGGAATTTCATGGGCATTTACAAATGCAGGAAGCTGTTCGCGACCCTCAGAGGGCCACAAGTGCCCTCGCTCCCCTACAGCCAGAACAAGCTTTTATCCCAAGAATGTGAAAAGCAGGCCTGGGCCCTTTCACATGGCTGGGAGGAGGGTGACAGGAGGGAGGGGCTGGGGGGCTAATCTTGGCGATTAAAATGCTAATGTCTTACTTGTAAAGGAAAACCTTTGATTTTAAAGAAAAGAATCGTAAGATGAAGTGATTCAATTTCATTAAGTTACCAAAGACCTGGTAGATAACACATCCAATGCCAGGACATCCAACCAGGGCAATGTCACTTGAGGTTTTCTTCTGAGGGACACTGCTGGGTTTCTCAGCCTTCATGGAAGCAGATTTCCATGGGGACAGTTCCAAGAGCTTTCCTGCGGGCGGGGTGGGGTGGGGGTGCTTGTGGAAGTTCAGCAGGTTGTAAGACCTGGCCTCTCAAAATTCATCTTTGCTTCTTAGGCAAGATAATGCTTGCATGTTGTTTGTGACAAGTGCAGTGTGGTAAAAGGGCAGCCAAAAGTGATCCCACCCTGTCTCCTTCATGTCATATTGCTAGATGGTATTCATGAGGAAATTCAGTCATGAAACTGATGAAGAGCCAGCCTGGGTCAGGTGCTGCTCTCAGAGTAAGTTAATAATGGAAGTCTGCTCTCAGGAACTCACGTGGGACCCACTGTGGGGAAATGGCTGGGGAGGTTCTGGCGTGTCAGGCCTATGGTGATGGACACAGCTAGGCAGTGGGAGGCTGTCACTCATGTGGGCTCCCAGAAGCCCTTACTGGCACTGAGTCTGAGGGGAGCATTGTGAGTGAGGGGAATAGGAAAGTAATGGCCTAGGCCTGATGGAAGGGCTTTTGCTGGGCATCGGAGTGGAGATTGGCCTGGGGACTTCTCAAGCCAGTCTCCTCTCATGTCTGTGAGCTGTGCTCCTGTGCTCCTTTTCTGTGTGTGTTTCAGACACCAGCTCCTCAACATCTCAGTAGATGCAGGGGGCTTTTGCTCCCTTCTCCTCTTTTACTGTTTGCCCTCCTTTTCTCTGCACAGTTGAATCAGAGGTGGAAGGGAGCCGGGCCTTCTGAATCCTGAGTGTGAGTGACGGGCACCTGCACCAACTGGGTTGTGTCCCAGCTCCAGACATCCTGGAGGACAGGTGTGACCAAAGTGAGACAGTGTGACAGTGACTGGAAGTCACTGAGGCCAGGGCAAGCCTGGAGGACACTGCAAGGGCAGGGGGCTCACAGAAGCTACTAGACACGTTACAGAGCAGAGGAATGGTTTGGAAGGCTGATGGCAGATGCTTTCCATGCAACACGAAGCAAGTGAACTGTTCTAAAGGCCAAAAGAGTGATGGACAAAGCAGTGCCTTAACAAGCGGTGATTTTGTTCCCACACACCTGGGTGCCAGTGGAACACAGCCAGGTCCTGACCTTGCAGCGCGGGCCACTGCAGTCCTATCTAGACACCCTGGATGGCCACACTGTCATCCTGATTTATGTAACCACTCAGCTTCTGCCACCAAAATACCCAGCATGTCACCTGCCTTGGGCACACATCACCTTTGGGTCAGATCAGCACCGTTCCCGACACGATGGAGACGATCAGTGTTTGCTGAGTGGACAAACAAGTGAGTATGAGCAAGTGCTCTGCACCACTGTGTGTTACAGAGCTGATGAATCCCCATATTGGATGGTGGCATCTCTCATTGTCCCTTCAAGGGAAGGGGGAGGCTGCTTCCTTTCTTGTGAAGACTGAATGAGAGGCACAGAAACCCCCAGCTTTGCAGTCTTGGCACTTAGTGAATGTCAGTCCATCCCTTTGACCTCCCTCTTCCCAATGAAAGTGGGCCAAACCCTGCCAATGTCAGGGTGCCTTGGGCTCCGTTTCAGCTCAGCATCCTAGGTAGCATGCAGGCATTTTTATCTTATGTGTTTCACACCTAAACTGTACTGATATTATTGTTCAGGATGAGCTCAATTCATTGGGGTGAATAACTTGAGTCAATTACAAATATTCTCTCTCCTCTCTCAGTCATCGGTATCAAAACCAGGGCTGTCAAGAAAAGATTCCAATTGAAGGAGGCACATGACTGATGTTTGGAAATTTCCTCCTGCGTGTCATTACTGTATTTTCCAAAAATTTCCACAACAGCAGTAAGGACCAGGGTCATGCTGGCAGATCATTTGGGGTTGGGATTTATCCCAAGGGTGGAGTGGAACTAAAGGAACTGGAGAAGAGTTGTAGCAAATTATAATGGAACTACCTGAAGGGTCGGTTCATACACTCGCAGATCCGGCTCTGCTAATGACATCGAACAACTGCCAAATGAACTGTGTGTCAGAACTCAGACACATGGCTTAGCCTAACAGGATTAAGATGTTTTACTGTGCAGATGGCATGGATTTTCTTAATGTAAACAGTGTAGGAAATGCCTTTCTTCCTGCCACTAAGCAAGAGAAGGGCTGAAGTCTTAGGCTCCAGCAACAGGATGGAAGTTTCTAATATGTTCTTGTCCTGTGCATGTCTTGTTCTTTTACCAGTGGTATGCCTTGAAGCCACCAGCCAACCTAGAGGGACAGAGGTCATAGTTTTCAACCTCTTGTGATTGAGCACTCAGGTCTTCCTGACACACTTTGGGGCTCGGGCCAGGGGGTCATGCTCAGTGGACAGAGTGACGCCTTGGCTATCATGAATGTTCTCCTGGACTGACCTTTGTATAAGTTATTTCCTTCCTCCATTGATCGAAGGAAAACACTTGGTGACATTTTCCACTCCTCATTTCTTCCTGCTCAGAATTGTGATGAGCATCAGGTCTTCCTGACACACTTTGGGGCTCGGGCCAGGGGGTCATGCTCAGTGGACAGAGTGACGCCTTGGCTTCATGAATGTTCTCCTGGACTGACCTTTGTAAGTATTCCTTCCTCCATTGATCGAAGGAAACACTTGGTGACATTTTCCACTCTCATTTTCTTCCTGCTCAGAACAGAATAATATTTTTGTTAATCACAGGCATAGTTTATCTGTCAACACCAGACAGCAAAACGTGCATATTTTGTAGTTGTCAGGACTGTGGGTTTATTTATGTAATATTTTTGGCAAGCTCTCGACCACTTGAGCTACGCAGTACACGGCCCTGGTTTGATTGCCCTCTTCTAGTGATTGGCTCCTTCCTTGTCTGAAGGCTGAATTCCCAGTCTGAGTCCTGTCTGCGTTCCTTCACCACTTTATAGACCTGCTCCGCCTCCTTGCTCTGCTGCCTCCTTGCCAGTTCCAGGCTTTCGAAAGCACCTACATTTTTCCTTCCTTCCTCTTCTCATCTGTCCTTTTCCTGAGCCTGGAAGCCATCCTAAGGCCACAGACTGGTGTTGGGGACCTGGCATTTTCCCTGGAATAGGTTGGGCCCCCAGTGCAGAGAGCCCAATCATGTCATCCTTGGCTCCTGCTGCTGACTTTGGGCACAGAGATGGGAGTCTGCAGTATACCCACTGATATCTCTGCTCTGAGCTGCAACAAAACATTGTCAGCCCCTAAGCCACCTGGTCCTTCTGCTCCCAATCATGACAACTTTTGCAGCCCCTTGCCTGATGTTTCCATGCAAGGACATTTATTGTAGCAATAAGTTTCTGATGACCAATGTCATTGTTACTGTTACCCTCAAAAAGGACAAAAGGAAGGAAGCTGGTTTTCAGTATGTCCACGAGGATTCTTCAAAGCCCTCCACACACTCTACATGCCTAGAGGAGGAGAGGACAGTTAGAGGACAGGAGCCAGCTCCCCTGTCCTGCTTCTGAGTCCCTGGGATGTTGGGCACCTGACAGCATTTCCTCTTCTGGGCATGTGTGGGGCTCAGAAGTATAGCAGCTGAGCCCTGTGGGCTACATTGTCTTCTCCCTCATTCCGCATGGCTAAGGAGGCACCAAAAGGCACCTTTTTACCTCTACGCTTGCTGGGATCTTTTCCCAGTCCCATCCCAGCCCCTCTGCTCAGGCCCTTGCTCTTGGACTGTCCAATTCAGGGTCACCCCTCTTCCTGTCAAAGGGTCTTGCGACAGATTTGATCTTAAGACTTGTCTTGGAGCTCCTTGGAGGGTCCATCTGAACAGCATGAAGTCCAAGCCTTTTGCAGGCTGAAGGTGCACTCCAGCAATGGCCCCCCCAGAGGGGTCCCCTTGCCTCTGCTGCCATCTGCACATGTCACTTCCTTGTCACAGCTATACCAAGAAGGCCACCGGTGGTGCTCATGCCACCACAGTCTTTCTTGCTTTCTGCTCCTTTCTCCTGTCCCCACTGCCCCTCCACCCCTGGGCCTAGAAGGCTGGCTTCTAAGGCTTCTGATGAATTTTGGACTCAGACAGGCCCCTCTCTTCCAGAAGCCTCTCCAATGCTTCCTGGCTCCAGCAGCCAGCTTTCCACCCTTGAGCTCTGTCTGGGCCTCACCCACACCTCCATGAGACTTCCTTCCTGTGGTCATCTTCCACGTCCCACCACACACAGGTGCATGGGAAGCGTGGACACTGTTTTCCTGGAGTCCGGCGCCCTGCCTGTGTGTGTTAAGAGGCACCCAGGCACCCAGGGTGAACAAAAATATAAAATTTAACATGTTTGATCTGCAGATAAATGGATATAAATAGCACCCGTAGTACAATCCAAACAGAGACGCTATTTACCATGAAAAGGAATGAAGCACCGCTACACACTCTAACAAGGGAGAACCAGGAAACTGCTGGCTGAGCGAGAGAAATCAGGCATACGACCACACATCACATGGTCCCATTTACATCCACTGCTCAGAATGGGCAGATCCATGGAGCCAGGAGCAGACAGGGCAACCAGAGGCTGGGGGAGGGGGCGACGGGACTGGCTGCTTAATCACTACAGGTTTCCATTGGAAGTAGTAAGGCAAGTATTTCAAGGGTTTCTGTTGGAAGTGATGCAAACACTTTGAAAGTGGACGGAGGTGAAGGACCCTAGTGTTAGTCACTTTAAGTGACTAATTTAAGTTATATGAAATTTACCTCTCAGTAAAAAATTACTGAGAAATGCCTACTCTCAGCTCAATTCTTTGCTTTAGTATCTGAGAGCCAATTTGGTCAATGGTTACAACCTAGTACAGGGGTCATTCATTTCTACCCAGTCTCCACCATGTCACATCACTTCCCAGCATCCCTCACCACTCATGCTCACATTCTGCTCTTAGGAAAAGGGACTCTGGGGCTTTAGTGAAGCCTAGGTGATGCACTGGGCAGTTTTCCTCACGTGTTTAGAATAAGCACACAACTCTTGGGACAGAAGAAGAACCTTCTAGTTCATTCCCAGTGCTGTATAGTACTTAAACTTTGGGTGGTAGAATCTGAATTGTCCCACAACACAGACTAGCATTTGGACAGGTGACACAATGGTCACCCTTGTGTTGGAAGGCCCTGGCTTCCTGGATAGGTCCCAGTCCAGGGCTGGCAGCACCTGCCCTCACGGGGAGCCGATTCCCACCTAAGCAAATTCATGCTTCTTTCTGCAGTTATTTGTGAAAGCCTAGCTCCGGTTATGTGACAGGCAGATCAGGCATCTCCGATGCCTCCCCATGGCATGATCAGTGACCAGTTTGTCTTCATGGCTGCACCTCCCTGTCCTCCTGTCCTCCCTGATGCTCATTTGTGCTCGGTTGCCCTGAATCTGGTCAATTTCTGACTCAATGTGAGTCCTTCTGCTCTGCTTGCCTGCAGGGGTCAGCTCCTACAACAGGAGGTGGCAGGTTCTCAGAGGTCCCTGAAGTCCTGCAGCTTTCAGATACCAGGGGAATGAGTGAAGAGGCCAAGGTTTGGGGGGGGGCGAGGGCGGGCAGGGCACCTGGAGTCACAGAAGGTCTGCCTGGAGCCACAGCTTGTAGTTCTAGCTGCTCTACAGAAACCCAGAGACAACTGGGGACCCAAACTAGCAGGGCTCAGAGCCTATGAAGCAACTGACCCACTTTCTGGTTCACATTAAAAGCAAAGCTGTCTGGTTAAGGAGCCCCCCTAGAACTCAGGTGAGCTCAGGTGTAGCTATTGTCCCAATCCTGGCTACCAATCCCAGTCAAGGGAAGCAAGAGACCAGTGTTGATTGGGTAAGTCCCAGAGGAAACAAGATTCAGGGCCAGAACGAAAAACTCAAAATAACTCCCATCAGTCTCCTGTCAGATACTATTTATCCATCCAGAGGAACTTTTTATCCTCCCACCCTCCTCTATCCTTTTTATCCTATGGTCTCACTAAGGACTCAGATCTTTGTTACTTTTAGTCAATGTGTTGCTATTCATTGTTGTCATTTTTGCTTTGTCCTCGGTTTGTCCTGTATTAGCCCGTGGGAGGCCCTATAAGTGGAGAGGGGAGACGGCCTATAAGGAGAGGGCCCTATAAACGAGGGGAGACGGGATTGAGGAAGGGCCTTGGAAGGACCTGGAACTGTATTTTCAGAGAGATTGGACTTGGCTACGAGCAGGTAGCTGTGGCAGGATTGGCTTATGGGACATTCTGTGGCGGGAACGGGGGTCAGGCTGCCAGCGGAGGCACAGTATCCACCTTCTCTCTGACCAGAATCCCCTTCTTCTGGGCACCTATTTCTTCTGTACTTGCTACTGGCCATGAGTGCTCGTCTTGGGCTGCAGTCTGGGCTATGAGACCCCCTTTATGGTGAGGACTCCATCTCACAGGTGATTCCAGGCTCCATACGGAATCAGCGCAGCGCCTTCTATATTAATTGGTGCTACTAAGGCATGCACAATAAGAGTAAAAATGGAGGTCTATATGTTTGGCATTTCATTTCTATAATAAATATCAAATTCCAAGAGGGGAAAACATTGTCAGGCCAGTTTGGGACACAAATCTAAATCCTGATCATTTTTAACAGTGAATGCTAATTTCCCATGACATCTATGGCACAGCTTATCCAGTGCTTTTGACTGTGCAGTGGAGGTTTCTGCTTTCCTCTAAAATCTAACGACGATCAAAGTTTTTTGGATGGATCCCATTTTTTTGGCTGCCTGTTTTAGACAATTTTATATAGTGCCCATTTTGGGCAATTACTGGGGGGGAAGATAGATTTCATGAGGACATTTGAAATCAACTGTCTCTATTCCAAAGTCATTTTATCCCCCACCGAAATCTTTTCCTGTGACGGGCGTCATATAGAACACTGGGCAATTTGTCACTGCATTGCCCCTTCTGAATGAAAACTTCTTGGCCATCACTCCACCATTCCCAACTCAGCCGAGCATCAAGAAGACTGAACCAAAGAGAGGGAGGGCCCAGGCCAAGGAGCCGTACTGGTCCTCCATGGCCTGAACCGACTGTGAAGGCGACCTGCAGGTACTCTGTCTTCTAGAACATTGCTATCACACCAGGAGTCCAAGACTTGCAAAGCCCAATTGCCCTTTGTCCTTCGGCACCATGTAAACTCTTTTTTTCTGCCTGGAATTTGCTACTGGTTTAACTCTTTTTTCTGCCTGGAATTGTGCTACTGGTTTTGTGTGTTTATCCCTAATGTCAAGACATAATGTCTGGCTGCTGTAACAGAATACCACAGGCTTAGCAGCAAACAGAGCTTTGGAAGACCCAAGATAAAGGCCAGAGCAGACGCTGGGTCTGGAGGGAGCCAAATGGTGCGTTCTGCCTGCGTCCTCACGTGGGAGGAGAGGCAAAGCAGCTTCCTGGGCGTTTTATAAGAGTACTAACTCTAATCGTGAGTGCTCCTGCTTCATGACCTTGTTACACCAGAGGCCCCACCTCCTAACACTTCACATTGGAGAGT